CAGTCCTTAAACTTTGGCTCAATGTATAATTTGGTCCCTGAACTTTTAATTTGTTCAATGTCATCCTCGAACTTTTGATACATATTCAATTCAGTCCCTGAACTGGCAGTCCTTTCCATTAATTCAAGTTCAGAGACTATATTGAACATTTACATATGAGACTGAATTGAACATGTATCAAAAGTTCACAAATTAAAAGTTCAATAACTACATTGAATATTGAGTTAAATTCAGGGACTACATTGAACAAATTAAAAGTTGAGGGACTAAATTACACATTAAGCCAAAGTTCAAGACCGTTTGTGTCATTATCCAATTATTTTCCTTCTCGTGGGTGGTTAGCCAACCGTGGAGCCCATCCATTAGCCGTTGTCCTCGATGCCACATCGCCACCATGTGTGGTGCTGCTACTCCTTGCCCTCCACTCAAAAGTCGCCATCTTCTTCGACCCGGCCACGACCTCATCAATTCCATCAACTTTAGACCTTTAGTTCCCGACTTCTCCGTAACTTGTTCTGCCGTCATCGCCACGGATCTCGATGAGTCTTTTGATATATAAGAACGCCCTTCTTCTCAACTTTCTCTCGAAGAAGTTATCATCGTCTCATCAACGACATCGACGCCCATTCACCACACTCCATCTTTCCAATGGAGGGGCAGGATCAACAAACCACCCCCACCTCAGGCGGCGGCGGCGGCGTGATATCCCTCCGTCCTCTGCAACTCTCTGACGTGGACGACTTCATGGTTTGGGCCACCGACCCGAAAATCACCCGGTTCTGCAGGTGGGAGCCCTACACGAGCCGCGACGACGCCCTGGCCTACATCGCCGGCACCGTCCTCCCCCACCCTTATTGCCAGGTCATCTGCCTCGACGGCAGGCCCGTCGGGTCTATCTCGGTGATGCAGCATGAGGTCGGGAGCGAGGCTTGCTGCTGGGGCAGCTGGGCTACGCGCTGGACTCGGGCTACTGGGGGAGGGGGATCGCGATGGAGGTGGTGGAGGTGTTCGGTGGGGAGAGGTCGGAGCTGGAGAAGGTGGAGGCCAGGGTGGACGTGGAGAACAAGGCGTCGCAGAGGGTGTTGGAGAAGGCCCGGTTCAGGAGGGATGGGGTGCTGAGGAAGTATCTAGTGGTCAAAGGTAGAGAGGCCGGGGAGAAAATATTAGGTGGAGGAGGGAGGACCCTGGATTTGGTCATGTTCAGTCGTCTCTCCACTGACGTTGATCCTTGATATGTTATATTATTCAGCACGAACGTTGCTCGCATTCTGATGCACCAGTTGACTTTTCGTCATCCATTTGTTTAGAAAACTTCGTACGTAATTGTAAATGCAGTGCGTGCGCTCTTAAGTTTATAATAAATTGTTGGATTTGATCGATTGTATATGAAATTGTCAGTTTTCATTCATATTTTTTCCCAACATTATTAGAGATTTTGCCAATTAGTTCCTAAACAATTGGATGGGGACACTCACATGGTTTTCTGTCCAACTTTAGCTCCCTGAACATCAGGCACACGTTTATCTGTCATGTCATAATTTTAATTTCGAGCATGATGCGTTTGTTAAATAGATTACATGACGTGTTATGTTTCAAAATTTTTCTTGTATTTAATTTAAAAATACAAACAAGTTCACATCCATCCATCATTGGCTACTTCATTTGTAGGGATAAATTGTCCAAAAAATTCTAAATCTATTCTACTTTTGCCAATTCATTTCTAAACCTTTTGATTTTGTCAATTAAGTCCTAAGCCTTTTTACGTTTTGTCAATTGAGTTTACCCTACCAATTTTGGCCGGAATCGCTAACGTGGCATGATCGGCGCTGACGTAAATAATTTTTAATAATATTTAATTTTTTTTCAAAATTGTTTATTTATTCATTTCTCATTTCTTTTTGTTCTTCTTCCCTTCTTCTTCCTCTGGCCGATCGCCGAGCCTCAGCGACCGGCCAGAGGTGAGGACCGATGAGGTCGACCTCGTCAGCCTCTAGCGAAGCTCGCCGTCACTAGGCAAGGTTGGCCTTGCTATGGCTAGGCGACGCTGGAAGTCGCCAAATCTGGTGAGGTCGAGCCTCACCTAGCCACTAGCGAGGTCCACCCTTGCCATCATTAGGTAAGACTAGAGATCATTCTCTCCGATTTTGATTCTCATTGTCGACCCTCCACACAACCAATTAGAAACCATGTCCGCGAGTTCACTCAATTTGCAGCTATCTCATTTCTCGACTTCAACAAGAAAAAGCAATAGCACAATGCTTGAATTGAGGATCGTATGCTCCATCAAGAACCTTAGCTATAGAACTCTGTCCGTGCATTATCGTTATGCCAATCTTTGACAGGAGACAGATCGGCTTTCTCCAGTGCCAGATGCTTGAACTCGAACTCCGCCTCAATGAGGACTACTCAGGTGAGCCTTGGTGTTTTAGAGAGTAGAGCTGAACCGACGATTGATGGCGGTGGCGGTGAAGACAAACCCTGCGGAGGTGGCCGAGGTGGAGGTGACAACGGTGGAGGTGGTGATGATGGAGAGGAAGAGGAAGGGAAGAAGAAGAAAAAAAATTAAAGAAAAAGAAAAGAAAAGAAAAGAAATAAGTTTGAAAAATATTAAAATATTATTAAAAATAGTCCATATCAGCGCCGCCCAGATCACGTAAGACGGTTGACGTCCACATTAGCGATTTCCGGTCAAAATTGGCCGGATGGACTCGGTTGGTAAAAGTGAGAAGGTTTATAACTCAATTGACAAAATTGAAAGGTTTATAACCAAATTTGGTGCAATATGTTTAGAACTTTCACTACAAAAAAACAAGGATTTAGCCACGGAAAATTAGGGACGAAAATTATTTGTTGCTAATTTGCGACGAAAACTAAACTCGTCGCTAATTGCGACGGAATTTGTGACGAAAAAAAATTTGTCGCTAATTTGCGACGGAATTTGCCACGAAAAATTTTCCGTGGCTAATTTGCGACGAAAAAAAATTCGTCGCTGATTTTGCGATGAAAAAAAATTCGTGGCTAATTTAGCCACGAAAATAAACTCTCGCTTCACTTTCCCGACTATTTTTTATTTTCGTTTAGCCACGGATTTAGCCACAGAAATAAATATAGTAGGGAAATGCGGCGATACTTAGCCACGGATTTAGCCACGGAAATAAATATAGTAGGAAAATGCCGCGATACTTAATTTCCGTGGCTATATCCGTGGCTTAGCCACTGAAATAAATATAGTAGGGAAATGCCGCGATACTTAATTTCCGTGGCTAAAAATCCATGGCTTAGCCACGGATTTAGCCACGTAAATAAATATAGTAGGGAAATGCCGCGATACTTAATTTCTGTGGCTAAATCTGTGGCTAATTTGCGACGGATTTAGTCACGGAAATAAACATAGTACGGAAATGCCGAGATACTTCATCGCGACGGAATTTGCGACGAAAAAAAAATTCGTCGCTAATTTGCGACGAAAAATTTTCCATGGCTAATTTGCGATGGAATTAGCGACGAAAAAAAATTCGTCGTTAATTTTGCAACGGAATTTGCGACGAAAAAAAATTCGTGGCTAATTTAGCCACGAAAATAAACTCTCGCTTCACTTTCCCGACTATTTTTTATTTTCGTGGCTAAATTAGCCACGGATTTAGCCACGGAAATAAATATGGTAGGGAAATGCAGCGATACTTAATTTCCGTGGCTAAATCCGTGGCTAATTATCCACGGATTTAGCCACGGAAATAAATATAGTAGGAAAATGCCGCGATACTTAATTTCCGTGACTAAATCCGTGGCTAATTAGCTACGGACTTAGCCACGGAAATAAATATAGTAGGGAAATGCCGCGATACTTAATTAGCCACGGAAATAATTATAGTAGGGAAATGCGGCGATACTTAATTTCCGTGGCTAAATCCGTGGCTAATTAGCTACGAATTTAGCCACGGAAATAAATATAGTAGGGAAATGCCGCGATACTTAATTTCCGTGGCTAAATTAGCCACGGAAATAAATATAGTAGGGAAATGCTGCGATACTTAATTGCGACGAAAAAAAATCCGTCGCTAATTTGCGACGAAAAAAAATTCGTTGCTAATTAGCGACGGATTTAGCGACAAAAAATAATTAGCGACGAATTTAGCCACGGAAAATAATTCGTCGCAATTTTTTTTTATTTTCCAACTTGTTAATGTCAAATGTCGTCGCTAAATCCGTCACTGATTAGCGACGAAAAAAAATTGATTGCTAATTAGCGACGAAAAATAATTCATCACTAAATTTTTTATTTTCTGAATTAATGTTTCAAAAATTAGCCACGAACATAAAAGTTGGTCGCAAAAATTAGCGACGAACTATAAGGGGCGGCGGAGCCCGAAGGGGCGGCGGCTCCTCCCCCCGTCGAGGGCAAGGGGGAATGGAAATGCAGAAAAACAGGTTCATCGAGGACTGGAGCACGGCGCGCGAGAACCTGGAGCACAACTTCCGGTGGACTCGCTAGAACCTCGCCCTCGTCGGCATCTTCGGCGTCGCACCCTCCCCCTCCTCGTCTACAAGGGCATCGTCCGCGAATTCGTACGTACCTCCCCCTCCCCCTCCCCCTCCCCCGATTGATTGGCGTGGCCTTTCGGATCCGTCACTTGCCGATTGATTCGATTCGATCGTTATTCGTGAAATCATGTCCGTCGTGGACCTTCGGCTCGCACGGGGTGGTCCTATTGATTAGCCTTCAGGTCCGACACTGATTGCAACATTTTGATTGCGGTGGTGATTCGTTCATCTCCACTGGTGACTTCTTCGGCCGGAAGGGGGCTGCGGACTGAGAGGGGTTTGGCAATGGGGAAGATCACGAATGGACTTGTGTTGCCAGTGCTTCTTTTGACAGGTACCGTCTTGCTTGTCGAAGTTTACCCGGGAATTTTGATGGTGATGGTGCATGGCAGCTCTGGGATGACAAGGTCAAGGTTATGGCGACGTAGTTGTGTTCACTGAGATCGTTTTTGGTTATACGAGGGGATTAGTTATTAATCGTTGTGTGCTTATGCATAGGTATAGTAATATATCTGTTCGGCGTGATGATGGACAGTGTATCTGTTCGGTGTGACTCGGTTGTTTTAGGCTATCATTTCGATCATGCTGCACATATACAGTATGGTATTGAAGGAATAAGCAAAATAAATGTCCTGAGATTGAGTTATTAATGATCTATTTTGGTCGATGGGATCCTAAATGTTTTAGGTTTTGGTCAATTGTACGCATGATGCAGCAACCTTTAATAATTCAAGATGTGAGTTTAATATTGCGCTGTACTCTAACAAGCTAAGTTTCTGGAGTAATTGGTTGTGCATGTAATTTATTTAACACTTCACTCGGAGAAGTAGGAGTAGAGAAATCGCACAACAAGTCGGTGTTTGCTTTGAGTGGGTTATCATGATGAACATGATTCCGCCAGGGGTTTCTTATAATGTTACTACTTGCCTCTCTAATGGAACTTCATTTTCTTTCATGATCTCTCCAGCTGCTTTACTCAGTTCGAATCTGATATCTCTGGTCGATTTGTCGGCTTTTCTTATCATGCAGTTCGATGGTTCAAAAGCAGGTAAAAAGCTATGCTAATGTTTCTTTTCGCAATGTATTCATCTCCTAGTCAATACCATCTTAGGAGATGTTTTGGTATTAACACTATTGTCGCTTATCTATCTTAGACTGCTTTTTATCCTTGAAACAGCACAAAAGGAAATGTTGTTTTTAGTTTACCTTTTAATCATCCTTGTCTTCTGTGGGGAGTGGAGGTGCTACTTGCCTAACTGACTTTGTATTGGACTTCACTTTCACTCTTTGGTACTTTTTTGAACAGATTGTATTCCTATGCCCCCTCTACGTCTCTTTTACTCGTGCTGTCTACGTCCCCTCTACTTGAGCCATTGAAAATGTTAGTTATTTGAACGCAGTGATACCTCCTTCGAATCATGCATTTGTGGAAAGTCATGTGTATTGTTCTTTGCACGTTGCAGGTGCTGGAAGCACTCCACTTCATTATGCTGCTTGTGGTGGAAGTGTGCAGTGTTGTCAGGTATTTTGTGGTAGCTAAAAGATAAATAGCATCCAATACCATTCTTTATTTTGTTCATCTCACTTACATAAATGTTTTTTTTTTTGTGGTGGAAGTGTGCAGTTGTGGACAGTGAACCAATGTGGAACACCTGCGTTGCACCTTTGTTTCTTTACTTCTATTAGATTTATCACTGAAAGTGAACTTCAACATTTTTCCTCTATATTTCATTTACCTTCGTTGCTTTACTTAATTAAGATTGCTTGCTTCATAGTCATTATGCATCCTTTAGAAGGTGAATATATTAACATTTAATGTGGAAACAATGCCACTAATTTTGTGTCTAATTCCAGACAATTTATGTTTTGTAGAAGAACGGCTTTGAGCAATTCTGCATAAGTTATGCAAATGAGAGGTTGCAACAACATTTCAACCGGCATTTGTTAAAACTGGAGCAGGAAGTGAGCATCTCACATGGACCGTGTCTTTAGTTTTGTTCAGTATTTTATATGATGGGGATTGTCGCTAAAAGCAGGATATTCTTTTTTGATTCAGATCTGTCGTCATTATTTATTTTGCAAGATTATTTATTCTCTCATTATGTGTACTATAAAGAAAAATATTTATGTCATTCTTGTGGAAAATGTAGATGAATGTATTTCATTTTCATATTATTATAATATTTTGATGTTATTAAGTGCTTAATCAATGTTAAATATAAATTCCAAAAATTAATTTTGCTTTTAATTAGGTTTAAAATCAAAAAATAAAATAAATGATTTTATCGTACGATCACAAATTACAAAAGTTCGTTGCAAAAATAAAATTTCGTCGCTAATTTCGTCCCTAAATGATAATCGTCGCAGAGTTCGTCGCTAAAGAATTAATAAAAAATCGTCACTAAATTCGTTCATGAATAATGCTGATGGCAAAAGTAAAAAAATTTGGTGGCAAATTAGCAACGAATTTTGCCACGAATAAGTTCGTCGCAAATTACTGACAAAAGAAAAAAAATTCTTGGCAAATTAGCTACGAATTTTGCCATAAATACAGTTCGTGGCAAATTAGCGACGAATTTTGCGACGAATAATTTTGCGACGAATTAGCGACGAATTTTTTTTCGTCACAAATTAGCGACGAAAATTGAAATTTTGCTGTTGCCCCAAAAGTGCTAAGATCATCAAATTTTCAGTTTTAGATATACCAATCCTTGATCAGTGCCATTACTCGATTAGGGAAGGAGCTGCTCAAGTAGAAACCGTGATCGTTGAGGCCGAGTTTTAGCTCTCGGCTGATCGCCTTAGGATGAGTACTAGCCAACACATGTTCGCATTTTCAGTGTGTTCGTTAACTAGACTGCATACTCAATGTTAATCCGGTTGTTCTTGCAACGAAATGATCATAATATACATATACGCCGTTAGATCACGTGGATTTCAGTTGCGCCGTATTGAATCTAACTGTTCAACACGAGCAAGGGTATGCAATAGTAAGACTTATCAATCAAGTAAGGATATTTTACCACATCTTTGTCTTCTTAGGTGGCTGACAAATTGTGGAGCCCATCCAGTAGCCGCCCTCCTCCATGCCACGTCACCACCATGCATTGCTTCTCCTTCCTTCCTTCCTTGCTCTCCACTCAAAATTCGCCATCTTTGACCCGGCCATGACCTCATCGATTCCATCGACTTTGACCTTGAATTCCCAACTTCTCCGCAGCTTCTTCTACCATCATCACCGTGGATGTCGATGAATCTTGATATACAAGAAGAACGTCCTTCCTCTCATCTTTCTCCCAAGGAAGTTTATCATCGTCTCGTCGACGACATCAACGCCCATTCACTACACTCCATCTTTCCAATGGACGAGCAGGAGCAGCACACCATCCCCGCCTCAGGCGGCGGCAGCGGCAGCGGCAGCGGCGGCGGAGTCTCCCTCCGTCCTCTGCAACTCTCCGACGTGGACGACTTCATGGTGTGGGCCTCCGACCCGGACGTGGCCCGGTTCTGCAGGTGGGAGCCCTACACGAGCCGCGACGACGCCCTGGCCTACATCGCCGGCACCGTCCTCCCCCACCCGTACTTCATGGCCATCTGCCTCGACGGCAGGCCGGTCGGGGCCGTCACTGTGACGCGGAACGAGGCCGCGAGCGAGGCTTGCCGGGGGGAGCTGGGCTACGTGCTGGGCTCGGCCTGCTGGGGGAGGGGGATCGTGACGGAGGCGGTGAGGATGGCGGTGGCGGAGGTGTTCGGCGGGGGGAGGCCGGAGCTGGAGAGGGTGGAGGCGGTGGTGGACGTGGAGAACAAGGCGTCGCAGAGGGTGCTGGAGAAGGCCGGGTTCAGGAGGGAGGGGGTGCTGAGGAAGTACTACGTGCTCAAGGGGAGGACCAGGGATGCGTTCATGTTCAGTCGTCTCTCTACTGATACTGATTGATGATTCTTGAAGTTTATTCAGCATGAATGTGGCTCCCATTTGGTTGGGAAACTTCTTACGTAATCTTGAATGCAGTGGCTGCGCTGTTGATTTTGTAATAAATTGCTGGATTGGATCGATTGCATTTGAAAATTTGGCAGCTCGGTTCCTCTGTTTTCCAACATTATCATAGACTTTTACTTCGTGAACAACTAGATCGGCTCACCCACATGGTTTCCTGTCCAACTTTATCTGCCTGAACATCTAGCACACTGGTCATCGATCATGTCAAAATTTTGATTTCGACCATGATGTGTTCGTTGAGTTTATTAGAAGATATGCCATGTTTCTAACTATTTTATGTAATTCGAATGTCGTCAGGATGGATGAGCTCATTATAGTACAGTCCTGCCGGCCAAAACTTCTCGATCACTTGCGCACCATCGTTGACCCTCCACACCACCGATTAGAAATCATGCCTGCGAGTTCACTCAATTTGCAACTATCTCATTTCTCGACTTCAACAAGCAAAAGCAATAGCGCAACGCTTGAATTGAGGATCGTATGCTCCATCAAGAACCCTAGCTATAGAACTCTGTCTGCGCATTGTCGTTATGGCAATCTTTGGCAGGAGACAGATCGGCTTTCTCCAGTGCTAGATGCTTGAACTCGAAATCTACCTCGATGAGGACCACTCAGGTGAGCCTTGGTGTTTTAGAGAGCAGAGCTGAACCAACGATTGATGGCGGTGGCGGCGAAGACAAACCCTGTGGAGGTGGCGGAGGTTGAGGCGACAACGGAGGAGGTGGTGATGATGGAGAGGAAGAGGAAGGGAAGAAAAAGAAAAAAAAATTAAAGAAAAAGAAAAGAAAAGAAATAAATATATTCGAAAAATATTAAAATATTATTAAAAATTATCCACATCAGCCATACAGGACGGTCGACGTCCACATTAGCGATTTCTGATCAACATTGGCCGGATGGACTCGATTGGTAAAAAGTGAAAATGTTTATAACTCAATTGGCAAAATTGAAAGGTTTATAGCCGAATTGTGTGCACTATGTTTAGAACTTTTTAAATAATTTTCCCTCATATGTATGATAACAATTTGTTATAAAACGGACCAGATTTTTGCAATTATATTGGGACACAAGGAGATGCATTTATGAGACAAAATAAAATGGGGAACAATAAATGACATGAGAGATTTACCTGTTTTGGTCGGAGTTCCACGAAGAGAGCCAACCACCAATAATTCACCAATGAATTAGAGAATTACATGATTACAATCGTTCACACACTCGCGTATTTCCTAACCCTTGATTATGCTCAAATCCCCACAGCATTTAGCCTCTCGCAATTGCTCAATGAATAAATTACCGGGAATTACCTGACTGCTCAAAATGCAAAAGGATTTTCTGACAAGGCCACATATTAACTAGACTATATACTCTATGTTAATTGGGTTGTTCTTGCGTGCATCCGAATGACATGAGCATAATATATATTATCAATTAAATTGTGTGGATTCAATTTGTCGCCTTGAAATGGTTAGACTTGTAAATCATGTAGGGATATATTACCATTTTTTCCTTCTTGGTGGCTGGCACATCCATTAGCCGCTGTCCTCCATGTCACATCACCACCGCTATGTACGCTACTCCTCCCTCTCCACTCGAAAGTCGCCATCTTTGGCCAAGTCATGACCTCATTGGTTTTATATCAGCGATTTCTAACTAAAATTGACGGGGTGAATTATATTGTAAAGTCGTCAAAAGATTTAGAACTCAATTGACACAATTAAAAGATTTATGATTGAATTGTCCCAAACGCAATATATTTAAGAATTTTTTGGTACTTTTCCCATCAATTGCACGAACAAATCAAGTGAAATGAAAGTTAACAAAGGTCACGAGCTGCTACATTCGTGTTAATGCTGAACTTGGGAATCATCCCGTCAAGTAAGGCCTGGCTTTTAGGGTTGATCTGCAACACGAAATCCGGGTTAAGGCATCCTGGTTTAGGACCTGGATTGGCCCTCCGATGATTAAGCCAGTAATTGGAAGAGAATGGGGATGCAGGGTATTCAAATTCACTAGAGTCGAACTCCTCATTTGAAAGAGCCCTTTTAACTTACACAAACATTTCTCTTAGTGGGTCGCGGCTGACAAGTGGTGACTCTTATTGGCAATTGGCAATATGCATGGACAAATGTTCATTAAGAACACTAGAGACCTTTTACTACTGTAGTGCTTTGCCTGCAGCAGTGAAACCGCTTTGATGATCAGTGCATGCGTGGCTTTTGAATGAGTGGTGGCACCGTTGTGGTTGCCAACGAAATAATGGTTAAGTGGTGTCTAATCTCCATGCCGGTCGCAATGAATGACCTTCCGGCGGTATTGTCTCCAGCCCAATTTTGTTACTTTGCCACGTGAAGCGTCTAGTAGGTTACTTAAAATCTCATCTACTATTGCTTAAAGAAGGTTTAATAGACGGGAAACTTGGGGTATACATCTATTCTACTATATTTATATACAATTCATCTACGAAGAAATTCCTTTTCTGACCGTTCAACTTAAATTACCTCAAAACCAAATTGTCATGTTAATCTCAAGTGAATCCACAGGCTATTTTCGTCATTGCCAAAGTGGTCTCCATTCAAATTTTAGGTCTCTCAGTGATCTTTGGCTCATGGTTCCTCGTCTATTTAATTCCCTAACACTTTTGATAATTAATTTTGATCAGGTATCGTCGATTCGCCATACTATATGATAATTTTGCTGTTGCCCCAAAAGTGCTAGGATCATCAAATTTTCAGTTTTAGAAATACCAATCCTAGATCAGTGCCATTACTCGATTAGGGAAGGAGCTGCTCAAGTAGAAACCGTGATCGTTGAGGCCGAGTTTTAGCTCTCGGCTGATCGCCTTAGGATGAGTACTAGCCAACACATGTTCGCATTTTCAGTGTGTTCGTTAACTAGACCGCATACTCGATGTTAATCCGGTTGTTCTTGCAATGAAACTACCCCAATGTACATATGCGCCGTTAGATCACGTGGATTTCAGTTGCGCCGTATCGAATCTAACTGTTCAACACGACCAAGGATATGCAATAGTAAGACTTGTCAATCAAGTAAGGATATTTTACCACATCTTTATCTTCTTAGGTGGCTGACAAATTGTGGAGCCCATCCAGTAGCCGCCCTCCTCCATGCCACGTCACCATCATGCATTGCTTCTCCTTCCTTTCCTTCCTTGCTCTCCACTCAAAATTCGCCATCTTTGACCCGGCCATGACCTCATCGATTTCATCGACTTTGACCTTGAATTCCCAACTTCTCCGCAGCTTCTTCTTCCACCATCATCGCCGTGGATGTCGATGAATCTCGATATACAAAAAGAACGTCCTTCCTCTCATCTTTCTCCCAAGGAAGTTTATCATCGTCTCATCGACGACATCAACGCCCATTCACTACACTCCATCTTTCCATCTTTCCAATGGAGGAGCAGGAGCAGCACACCATCCCCGCCTCAGGCAGCGGCAGCGGCAGCGGCGGCGGAGTCTCCCTCCGTCCTCTGCAACTCTCCGACGTGGACGACTTCATGGTGTGGGCCTCCGACCCGGACGTGGCCCGGTGGTGCAGGTGGGAGCCCTACACGAGCCGCGACGACGCCCTGGCCTACATCGCCGGCACCGTCCTCCCCCACCCGTACTTCATGGCCATCTGCCTCGACGGCAGGCCGGTTGGGCAGGTCTCGGTGACGCGGAACGAGGCCGCGAGCGAGGCTTGCCGGGGGGAGCTGGGCTACGCGATGGCCTTGGGCTACTGGGGGAGGGGGATCATGACGGAGGCGGTGAGGATGGCGGTGGCGGAGGTGTTCGGGGGGAGGCCGGAGCTGGAGAGGGTGGAGGCGGTGGCGGACGTGGAGAACAAGGCGTCGCAGAGGGTGCTGGAGAAGGCCGGGTTCAGGAGGGAGGGGGTGCTGAGGAAGTACTACGTGCTCAAGGGGAGGACCAGGGATGCGTTCATGTTCAGTCGTCTCTCTACTGATACTGATTGATGATTCTTGAAGTATATTCAGCATGAATGTGGCTCCCATTTGGTTGGGAAACTTCTTACGTAATCTTGAATGCAGTGTCTGCGCTGTTGATTTTGTAATAAATTGCTGGATTGGATCGATTGCATTTGAAAATTTGGCAGCTCGGTTCCTCTGTTTTCCAACATTATCATAGACTTTTACTTCGTGAACAACTAGATCGGCTCACCCACATGGTTTCCTGTCCAACTTTATCTGCCTGAACATCTAGCACACTGGTCATCGATCATGTCAAAATTTTGATTTCGACCATGATGTGTTCGTTGAGTTTATTAGAAGATATGCCATGTTTCTAACTATTTTATGTAATTCGAATGTCGTCAGGATGGATGAGCTCATTATAGTACAGTCCCGCCGGCCAAAACTTCTCAATCACTTGCCCACCATATCCCCCCCCCTCCGTGGCTCTCGAGCCCGTGGGAATTCTCGAGTTTGAGAGTAGATAAGCTTCATGCCATGTCTCACATTTTAATCTCGAAAACTGCGTGAAACATACTTCCTTTCAAACTATTGTATCTCTATGAGTCCATCTATACCTATGTTTAAGGCCTGCTGAAGTTGGTTCCCATAAGCACTATTCTTTTTTTCTGATCTTCCTCAACTTCCTTTCATCTCTTCAATCCTTTGGCTTTATCCATCTACAATTGGGGAGATTGATCAAAATGGCAGACTCAGACTCACAACCGGACGTGACATTTCTTTTTGCCTCTTCATCTCCACCGCCGTCCTAGGGGATTTTTATTCTTTCGAACTATTGCATCTCTATGAGTCCATCTATACCTATGTTAAGGCCTGCTGAAGTTGGTTCACATGAGCACTATTCTTTTTTTCAGATCTTCCTCACTTCCTTTCATCTCTTCAATCCTTTGCTTTTATCCATCTACAATTGGGGAGAATGATAAAAAAGGCAGGCTCAGACTCACAACCGAACGTTGCGCTTCCTCAGGGCTGCTGTTGTTTGAAAGAGTTGTATATCTTCATGTTCCTGAAAGGGAGGAATGGGCTTTACCCCTCTAGGTCTGGTTTTCTGCCATCCATGGGGAACAATTGGTGACCGGGCTTAGATTTCTTATTCCCTCCAAATCGACCAAAATTATGCGAGAGGTAGGTCTCCTGCCGGGCCAGTTGAA